GCTTCGACAACGTGGGCTCCGGCGCCCTGCAAATTCCCTGCGACCCGGTGGTCTTCGAGCGTCTGCTTTCGTTAATTGGGAAAGAGGACGACATTCTTCCCAACGGCTTGTCGTTCGTCATTCTCCCGTAGAAGCTCCACCTCCGCGTGGAGGAGCGGTAGCAGACGCAATGTGCTCGCCTGGTGCGGAGATTTCAGCGACGAGGTTCCAGCGAACGGGAGGAAGACGGCCTGGGCAAGGGCGACCAGACAGGCCTGTCCAGCGGATTCACAGCATTCGGGATCGATCGCGGCGTCCATTTTTTCCTGCCTACACTTTTTTGCCCCCTCTGCTGGTCGGTTCGCCGAGCGTGGGGGGTTCGGCTGAAGGCGGCTGAAAGGCCACGGCTTCCTTATAGGTGCTCTGCTCTGTCGAGCTCCGTGGCGATGACAGGGGCCGATTCAACGGTCACTGCTACGATGATCGATTACTGATGTGCTGTGCAGAATAATGACCAGACTTGACAGGGTCTCCCTCCGTATTTCCTTTCTCATCCCGTTCCTTTTTATTTTCCGTTCTGCTCCGAGATATTTTCCAGGGCTTGGGATCGGCCTGTGCGTTGTTATCCTCCCTCACATTTGCCGGCGGCAAGAACTGGGGGAAGACACGTTAGATCGACGGGTGCAGCGTGCGACTGCCGGCCGTGGTCTTGCGGGGCTCGGCGACCCGAGAGAGGGGGAATCCCGGCCGAGTAGTCAGTCAGTCAGTCGCCGGGATAATTGCGCAGAAACGAGGGCAGGCAGGCAGGCGGGGGTGGCGACGATCGGTCGCTTGTGCCATTAATGTCGTCGAGGAATTCTCCTGCTTTCCTTCGTTTCATCACCGGGGGGAGAGGGAAGGGGAGGCTCCTGTCTCGCCGGCCGTCCATAATTTGCTGCGATTCGAAGCCTAAACCTGCCTCGCGGGTCAGACCGTCGTCCGCCGTGGTGGAAGGCCGCCGGGGACACGGGCGATGAGAACCACAAGGGGGGATTCGGGTGGGGCAGGGAGCGCGCTGACACGGGGTGGTGGCGCCGGCGAGACGACTCCCCCCACGTGCACACCTACCTCCTTTGTCTCCCTCTTCCTCTGCAGATTTTATCCGTCCCTCCGCCTCCGTTTGATATTCCATTCACCCGTGTCCTCACCCACACGTATCGCAACATCTCGGGGAAATTTGGGCTCGGCTCCTCACTCTCACGTGGAGGGGACAGACAAGGGCGGACACGCCACGCTCATTCCTCCCTTCCCTGCCCTCCGTACAGAGAGTGACAACGCCCCACCTCCCCTGCCCCCCATGTGACGTGCTCTTCCGTCTCCAGCACCTCCACGGAAGATCCGGACGCCCACTTCCCTCATCACGAAGTCTTCCCCTCTTCCTCTCTGTCTAGCTCTGCGTACGTTCGCCGGTCGTCGTCGTCGTGTCCCATCCATCCGTCCAGCTACTCTCCTCGTTCCCCCATTACTGCGCAGCCGCTCTCCACCCCTTCCATTCACGGTCCTTTTTAACCATCAATAATCTCGCCATCACCACTACCGCCGGGAAGCCAATTGGCCATGTGACGCGGAAGAGATACCCACCCTCCCCCTCTGCACTGCGTGCAGGCTTCTGCGTCGATGCTTCGCCGGCGCCGACTCGAGGGGGAGAAAGAGAGAGGGAGAGAGAGAGCGAGGAGGAGGAGAGTTCTTCGCATCTGAAAGGCAAAGCGGCGGATTGTCCCAGGCAGAATGACGCGAATAAGCACGGAACCATTCTTCGTTCCTCCCCCCAACAACACCAATCTCTATTACCATACCTCCCTCTCTTCTCGTTCTCTCACCATCTACTCCCCAGAGGAATTTCCCTCCATCAACCGAGAAGAGTTTCCGGCCGGCCTCGTGGGCATCTCTTCCGCGTGATTCTGTTGATTCCGCGAGGTGAGGCCTTGCCCCTTTCGCCCGCCGGGCGGTCATTCCTTCCCGCCGGAGGCCCCCCTGGGGGTTCCGATCCGTTCTTGCTGCATCATCGCGCAAGCCACGGCCTGCGCCCAGTGCCTCAGCTTCGTCTTCACTTGCTTCGGCCCGTCACCTGTCCACGAAAGAGAGCGGACCAGCCGCCGTCAGCTACAATATCATTTGCAAGGAGAGGAAAAATTCGATGAGACGAGGAGTCTAGAAGGGGCCCCCCATGAAATTGAAATGGGCGTGCATGCACCCACCGTCTCGTGAAACTTTTGACTTGTGGAAGACCTTTCTTCCACCTCACGAAAACCCACCCGAAGAAGCAGGGAAGAGGGGACAGAATGGATGATGGCTTGTTGCCCCGACAGGAGCGCGGCAGACTATTACTGTACCGGACGAGCTGGCAGGATGTGACGAGGGGGTACTGAGAGATATTTCAACGGCGGGAGGAGGATAAAGGAAAGGGGATACTGGATAGGGGACCCAGCAAATCGGGATGTCCAATGGAAGGCGTGCTTTTGATTATCCGGGGACACGTGGGAGGGTGCCACAAAGGCCGATGTTGTCCCGTCGGCCAGGGGACTGTAGGCCTGCATGTGTTGACTGATACAAAGAGGAGAACGCGGGGAAGGGCGGAAGGATTGATACGAATACTTCGAAGACTGGCTGATACTGTGCTCCGCCTGTCCCTGTTAGTGAAGTGGGGAACGACTAACTGACGAGTCCTATCACTTGCCACCTTCATCTCTCCCCCTCCCTCTGTTTAGAGCCACCGTTCGCTTCACACATTTGGGCTGAGGATGAAGCCCACCTGCTCCTCCGTCCTTGCCGTCCTGGACGGCTGGTTTCCGCCGTGAAGACACGATGCGAGAGTGGGTACAGAGACGGATATCGGAGATGTCTTCTGCCACCCGTCCAATGACCAGAAATTATAAGATCACCCACCCCCTCTTCCGCCGATGGAGTGGGGTTTTATGCATGAATGTGTAGATGATGATGATAATAACGATGGATGATGCGCAAATAAGAGCAAAATCGAAAGCTCAAAGAAACGGCATGATATTGCACCACATTACACTACCTGGGCTGAAGATCTTCAACGATGGCGAGCAGGCGGCGTGGTAGAACGGGCTGCGGGGGCTGGGGCTCTCGAGGAGGGATGAAGAGGAGCCGCCGCCAGCAGTGCTAGGGGTTGAGACTGGGCTGGGCGAGAGCAAAAGCCTGGAGTCGGAAATCTGCTTATTAACCGCGAAATAGAGGTCGAGTGCCGGCAGCATGTGACAAAGGTTGCGGCTGCCGGCCTCCTCGCTAAACCCAAAACCCAGTTCGATGGAACCCCTGAGATCGTCGAGGTCCTCGTCCGTCAGGCTCCTCCCCCGCGCAATACGTTTTCCATCGATACCGATTTCTCCTTCTTCTTCGCATTCGCCCCCCGGCCCAGCACCTAGCGTCGACTGCTCGAGGATCTGCTTCCTTCGCTTCTCCCAGATGGCCTCTCTCCTCGTCTCCCTCATCGACAGCTGCTTCGACAACCTCTTATTTCGAATGTACCTTCCGACCAGCAACGGCGCTGGCGGGTCCACCGGCGTAAGGGGGCACATATCCTCCTCGCTCTCCGAGGACGATGAGGACGTAGACAGAGCCAGAACCGGAAGCTCCCTGACCACCCCGTTCATTGTTGCGTGCACTTGTACTTGCGCTTATCTTCTTTTTTTCTTTCTCCTTGTTCTCCTCCTCTCGTAATCTCCTCGTTACCTTCTTCGCCGTGGTTGCCCCCGAGAGAGAGAGAGAGAGAGAGAGAGAGAGAGGAGTTCCGGGGTGTGTTATCTCTGCAGGCAAGTCTTCCCTCCTTCGGACAGGGCTGCGAAGGAGGCCGGGTAGCCTCCAGCCCCTGGCCGGCGGGAGGAATGTACGGAGGGGAGAGGGTAAGGGTTTGGGGGGGGGAGCTATACGGTGCTTTCCCTGTAGGTAGATATGTGCTTGGCCCTCTGGGGGAAGCCTGGAGGATTCTTACATCTATTATATACAGGAGCACAATGGAGGGCAGAGAGGGAGATCCGGGGGGTACAGAGGAGGGCCGCCTGGCTATCTGGAGGTGGTTGAGCCGGGGATATGCTAAGATGGCCGCCTCCGCCGCCTCCGTCTCCGCCGTTTCTTCCGTCTGTTTGGGGCGGGCGGGCGCACCTCTCTCTGTCCCTCCCCCCTTGGGTAGTAGTTGGCCACACAGAGTTTCGGCATGTGTTTCTCTGGCTGCTCGGGGTTACTCTCAATGATGGTTGCCGTGGCTTCCGGGGGCAGGGGCCTCCAAATATAGCAGGGTGCTTGCCGTTGATGACGATGAGGAGACGGAGGAGGGGAGAGCCCGACGCACCCGGCGCCACCCCGAAGTTAGCAACCTTCCTCCACACGCCCCCCGCCCCCCTTCCAGAGGGGATGGAACGGCATACGACGCCCAGGCCAGCAAGTACAGTTCCCGCGCTTCCGGTGGCCGTTTCGCCCTCGGCACGTCCGCGGAGGACGAACGGAGTCCACCCCGGCGTGCGGTGCCAGTGCTGAGAAGAGCTGAGAAGAGCTCAGAGCTCAGAGCTGAGTGCTTAGTGAGAGGCCTGCCTGCATGCGACTGTGATTTCATTACGTAAACGAGAAGGGCGGCGACCGCCCGCTTAAAAAGTTTATACCGATCCCCATCGCCGGCCGCGAGCTGAAGTCAGTCTCCATTCGCGGTCCGTACGTGGAACTAATCTTCCGGATGCTTTCGGTCTCGATCCCAGACCGCACGTGCTAGCTGTTAATCTCGACATTTACGTTAAAAACGAGGCCCCAGAGTCACTTCCCACTTTAATCCCTCATATTTGCTTGCTTTACTTTTTTCACCAACGAAATCCCGAGCGAGCCGGCTAGACCCGAGACTCGCTCCGTACGAGGGAGACACACACAGAGCGAGTTCCTCTCTCTTCTCCGCTCCGTTGTGCCTAAACCGGAGGGGTAGCCTGAGCCCTTGAGGAGATCTTTTCCTCCGTAAAGGCGAAAGAAAGCCCTCGATGGCTGCTGCTGCTAATTCTCTCGCCTCTCAGTCAACCCTCCTCTCCCAGCCCTCCCGACTTGCGCCGCGCCGGTCTTCTCCCCCGCTATCTCGCCTCCCCCTCCACCTCAGCGTCCGCCCCTCTGCCAGCTCCACCCCGTCTCTCATCCCGATCTGCGCCTCAGTCGCGGCCCGCTCAAGGACAAGCCACACTCTCCGATTTGCGGTTCCCGATTCTGGCGGTGGGGAGATCGGCGGGGGAGGGGGGGCTGAGGGACACGGCCGCGGAGGAGGAAACGGTGATTGGAACGAAGGAAGTGGGTCCTCGGAGGACGGGGAGCGGAAGAAGATGGGAGGAGGGATGTCCATGTCTCAGAAGATCACGCTGGGATATGCCGCGCTTGTTGGAGGTGAGTGAATCACCATCTCATACCCCTCTCGCATCATCGAGATATCCTTCATGCTTTACCTTCCGGCTTACTCGATCGTTCCTGTTCCTTTATTCGCCTCTGTTACACGAGTGTGATGGGCTTTTTGTTCAGCTTGACTAGTGAAAATCTCGAATGTGAATTTGGCGTACAAGAAAAATGAGGTACTGTAATCCGGTCCCTGGATGCTGGCAAAAATATTTTCTGAGGGCGGCAATCTATTCCCAATTGAACGCAGACCTGGCATTTAAATTGTTGGCCTCGACGGCCCCTCTTTAAGCTAAGAGCACCGGGATCTTTCATTTTTGTAAAGGAGCGTAATGTCATCCCTATGTTTCTTAACCTCAAGGAGGGTGCTGGAATTAATGGAGTTCAGACGAAGGATATCTCTGAATCCGCAGAGAAATTATGCTTTAACTCAGCACTCACACCAAAAAGATCCTCCCTGTTTATCTTTTGAATCTGTGGTTCATCATATAGAAAGTCACAGCACCAGAACTGATCCACCCTTGAAAATATGAAATTGAGAAATGCTTGAGTTGGGCACTTGTGGCCACACCGAAAGACAGTAAATTCAATTAAATGTGGTGATGACCTTGACAGAATAACTAGGTTTATATCACTCTAGATTGGGACAAAATTTACGTGGTATATAGAGTAGATACTTGGCTACTTCGATTTTCGCTAGGATTTTATTCCTGGCATGAATACTTGCTTGGGTATTAAGTATGTAGTCTCTCAACGTGTCTGCCTTAACAACTATGCACTCGACCCTGTCATTCTTGGCACATTATGGGATCCTGCTCCCTCATTAGTCAAGCTGTTGTCCATTAAACCTCATCAGAAGCTTTGAAGGATGAAAATGATGTGTTTGCTTTTGATGAAATTAAATACGTACTGATGAAAACCCATCCTAACATTCAACTGGTTACATGGAATGCTTGGCTAACAGAAATCCAATCCCGAAGACATTCCACACTCGAATCAGGATTTGTTGCTTCCAAATTCTGACCATATCAGAGCGAAAATTTCTCTTTCAAGGCTGGATTATTTAGCCCCCATTATGTGGAATTGTCATTGCCTTTATTTCAAGAAGAAGAAGAAGAAGAAGAAGAAGAAGAAAAAAGAATCATCTGTGATTTTCCACTTGTACACAGCTGTTTTGGGAGGCATTTTCCTGCATATAACTAGATTATAGTTCATATATGCCCATGTATCACTTTCCATCGTAAGTGTTGTTTTACATTGTTTTCCTATTTTTCATGCACACCGTTACAAGTGAAAGTTCATGAATTTCATAGACTGAGGCATAAGGGGGGCTTCTATGGTTGAATATATTTCAATTTTAGTTGACTTCTTTCTTGAGTTTTGTAATTCATCTTTGCAGTCTGTGAGACGAACCTATTCAACCTGCATATTTCAAAATTGCTTTTCTGTCTCGTCTTTCAAGGTTAGGCTTGAGATTCTTCAAGCCGCCAATTTGTGTTTTTGCCCAACAAGAGATGTTGGTCTGCAACTGTGTTCTCCCATTGAAAAACACAAATGATGTGCTATTGCTTTTTTTACGAAGTGTACTTTTCCTCTCCCCTGAATGATTAAGAAAATATTGAATTCACTACCGTCCTGGAATGGATGGAATGGGAACATACATTTATGGAGAGCCTTCCTCCCTGCGTGCACCGTCTAGTGTAGCATTAACTAATGATTCCTAAGTTTGTCTGGCGAAATACTTCAACTTATATCATGTGAGAAACGTCTGCATGATGTGCATATTTAACCAACACTTAAAGTCAGTCGATCAAAGCTTTGCCTACTCATGTGTAGGCATGGAATATTAAGCAGGCAAAATTTCAGGTGCATGTGCCCTTCTTACGCGGTTGTCTTGCGGATCAATGTTTTGCGGATCACTATCTGCATCGTCTGTGGCCTTTAGTAACCCAGTTACACATTGAGATCATTAACTCTCGGGAAGTGTCTTCAATATTCATCTTTTTTTTTTTCTTTGTCTGCGCGTTGGGGTAGTGCATCAGGAGCATTCACTTTTGTCATCCATTTAGCTTATTCATTTGTGAGTTGAATTGAATCAGAATGAAAACAATTAAAAGCCGCCTGTCTTGTACAAAATTTGTGTGTGGGTTAGCTCATGAGCTCATATGAAGTACGCACTTATTTTGCTTTCAGTTGGTGGACTGATGGGATACCTGAAGAGTGGGAGCCAGAAGTCTCTAGGTGCTGGTGGTGCTTCGGCCTTGTTATTATATTTTGTTTACACTCAGCTCCCTGTGAGGCCAGCCTTCGCTTCATCCCTGGGCCTAGGTGAGGACACTGACGCTGGAATTTTAGACACAGTACAGTCTTTAAGGTTCTCACTCTAAGCATTGTTGTCGTAATGAGGACTCGCCATTTGTGAGCAGGTCTATCTGCTGCGCTGCTTGTGGTGATGGGTTCTCGCTTCAGGAAGTCGGGGAAGATATTTCCAGCCGGCGTCGTCTCTCTTTTTTCTCTTGTGATGGTATGCGGCTATGCCCATGGGATTATGCGAGGCCTGCATGCGTAGGGATCGAGAGCAGGATGCCAAAGTCCTTTCTGTGTTGGAGTTGGCGTTTGAGGGTGCTGCTATCCTTCCTCTTTCTCTTTTTTCTCTTGTGATGGTATGCGGCTATGCCCATGGGATTATGCGAGGCCTGCATGCGTAGGGATCGAGAGCAGGATGCCAAAGTCTCTCTCTCTCTCTCTCTCTCTCTCTCTCTCTCTCTCTCTCTCTCTCTCTCTCTCGTTCGCTCCCCCTCCTGCCTCATCTTGAACAAGGAATTCCATGTTTGACTTGGTAAACATTGGTAAGCAGTGCGCCATGGCAATCCCTGCCGCTAGTTTTTGTTTGTACTTGGCGGGTTCTTCTGCCACATTTGAGTTTTTACCAGCACGAAAACGTAGGGCGAGATGGGATCCCCCGACCCTTCTCCTCGAAACTGCGTGAGTTCCACTGTCCACATACGTCGTTCGCTTAATTCTCTATTTGGGGAGTTCAAATGCCAAAGCAAGTGGATCGAGAGGAGCATACGCCACTATGCTTGGCCTGATTGACAGGACCGAAATGAGCTCTGGAAACTATCGAGTGATTCGACGACTGAATCTCCCACTCTCTGCCGCCAGGTCCATGTAGTCGCCACCACCACCATGCGACTCGAAGTAAAAGCACGGGAACATTCCTGTACGCAGGATCGAGTAGCGTCAGGTGGGAACTGGGTATCCCATGAACAGAGCTCTGGTCTCGAGTAGAAGTGTCGTTACCGATCGCGCAGAGAGCGCTGTCCGAGGCTTTCAATGTGGTGCTCTGCTGGGTCTACTCTTGATTCTTTCAGCCGGTAACTAGCTATCAGGACAGTCCGCAAGATCCAATTCCATGTCGTTCTCATCTGATGAATTTTGTGACTTTTGGTCATGATTTCAAAAATATCTTCTTCCGTAAAGGCCGAGTAGCCAAATCAGGACTTGATTCGGGCAGTCCAGGGGCAAATTTCAATCATGTGGCCTTGGTCTCTCCTCAGACCGCCGCGCCATCAAATGCCATGCTAGTCCAAGAAGGAATCCTTTCAGAAGCGGGGGAAAGATTCAGGGTAAGATGCAAAGTGAGTGAGACCGCAATTCGTCGGGAAAACAGAAGCAAGACGGGGCCGAGGATTAGCCTCAGCGGTGCACATGAATATGTTTAATAAGTTGATTTCATAACTGTATAGTTTAGAACTTAAGGTAGAGAAAAGGACCAGTCTCTTCATTTCATTTCATCATTGTCTATGTCCTATAATCTTTTGAAGACTATCATATTATATTAAAAAGATACCTGAAGATGTAAGATGTCACATTTACTATATTATCCAATAAGTTCAAGAATCAAAGGTAGAAAGAATACTTGTTCAAGATCCAAGTCAAAATGAAATGATAAATGTTGCTACCACAAGTAAGGAGGTCATTAGCAAGTAGATTCTGTTAAACTTGAACAGTTCATGTAGTTGAGTGATGAAATAGTTTTTTGTAGTCCCATGGTTTAGAAAAGAGACGAAATGTTGTAACAATATCCTTAGAGAGATATTATTCTATTGCATAGTTTTTTGATTTTGAATGTTCCGAACATCTGTTCCCATTTATAGATTGATTTAATTCTTATTCATCTCATAACAGAAGTAAAGTTATGACAAGGAATAAATCAAAGTGCAAAGTATTAGGATAGGAGATGTAAAAATGAGATGTTTGATAGAGTTATGAGGACTTGGCCAAATATCATTGGTATAATTGACTTGACAAAAAGGCTTTCATCCTTATGTGATCCAAGTAGTTGTTTCTATATCAAGAGCTAATGTAATTTTAAGATTGAAAAGGTGAATACATTGCTATAAAGGGACACAAAATTGAAAAATTATATATTCTTTAGTATTCACATTCAAATGGTTAGGATTTATCTTTAGTCATTACTAATGGAGGAAAATATTTTATTATTTTTATGGATGACTTATGAAAGAAAGCATTTGTCTATTTTTCAAAGACAGATTCATTAAGACCGTAAAAGATTAAAGCTGAAAAAAATATAAAAATAGGTTAAAGTTTTTAGCCATGACAATGCCAGAGAATGAGGCTCCTACTATTGTGAGATCTTTTGTCTAAAAAGAGATGATAATTTCATTATACTCTCTTCTGTACAACATAAAAATTAAAGTAGCTGAAAGGATGAATATGACAAGACTTGATAGAGCATGCAGTAAGAGATTATTTACAAGAACTTTTATGAAATTTTTGGTCAGGATAATTAACAAGCTGTGTTTTTTGGTGAATCACTTGGCTTCTACATCATTGATTCAAAGCAATCAAAGAGATTTGGTCTAATAAATCACCATAGTACTCCAATATACTTATTTCAGAATGTTGGTTATATTGATGCAAAATGTTGAGTACACAAAGCTTAATGCTAAGTTCAATACATATACTTTTTGTGATATCAGGAGAGTATCATGGATTAGGAGTTGTAGAATCTTATAACTAAAATCGCAAGGCTTAAGAGAGTATGACGAACAAAGTTTAACATAAGTTTTCAAATGAGAATTATACCAATAGTTCAATTAAGAAAGGTTGAATAAGAAATAAGTGACAACAAGTAGAAATTGATAAGAATCTATAAGAGATGGGGATTGTATTGTACAACCAAATTCAAAGATATTTTGTTGCCACAAGACATTTAAAGAAGTACATTTGAAATTTGTTAATATAGTGCCATGAGCTTTTCTTATCATATCTTTCAACATTTATGACATTTGAAAAGGCAATTATGAGGATGCAAAATGTATAACAGAGGAATGCTATAAAAGAAAATGAGTATTCTCTTCAAAATAATGAAACTTATGAATAAAGTTAAACTTTATGAGAGCAAGAGGATAATTAGCTACAAGTATGTGTATAGAAAAAAAGAAGTCTTATTTATAAGAGAGAGAGCCAAATATAGTACTCATCTTTTTGCAAATGAATTCAGATAATGGAAAAGAATTTGACTTTAATGACACTCCCTCATTTGGTAAATCACTATTTAATCAAAGCTATGCTTGGAATGGTATCTATATGTGAGTTAGAATTATATTGATTGAAGTAAAAACTTAGTTCTTACATGTGCATTTAGATAATGATAGAGGAATGTTTAAACTAAATGGCTTTGTTCAATGAAGACAACGAAAAAGTCATATATAAGTAATATGCAAGGTCCTTCTATAGTTTTGAGTATGATATCAATTAGTTGTCTAAAAGGTTTAACTTTTCTACATTGACACGAGCACAAAAGGATCATGCATAATAACTGCATATATTTTTTGTTTCCTGAATTATTATATTATTTTGTTGATGGTTTAGGGTGAATACATGTTGATTGTATACAAGTCTTTTATACAGTAGTAAGCTGAAAATAGAACTTCGTTTAAAATTTGGGGTGAAAGATACATGTGGTGCATGTTGATACTAAGTAAACAAGATGGCTTTCTGAAAGAGGGGGGGAATTTAACACTAGGATTTTACACATTTTTTCTTAGATTGTATCTATAGGGCTAACTTGCTATGTTGGCTCACCTAGAAATAGCCAATAAGTGACTATCTTTTCTAGATGGTTCAGATTTCCTAGATGATGTGATACCTTGAATAGGTAAACATTTGGAGACTCAAGGAACCTTGGGCATTGTAGCATTGTTGCTAAGAGACAATTATAAAGACAAATGTTCTTTGGAGCATGCAAGAGAGCATATGGTGATGCAATGTAAAATTATTTATCAAAGCTTCACAAGATATGTTTGTTATGTTCTAGGAATTCGATTTTTGGAATTGAAATGATAAGATTATGTTTCTTGAATCTTTTCTTAGTTGACATTTAGTTGACTTGTAAAATATTCTAAATTTTAAGTAGATTTAGTCTCTTTATTTGAAAATATTTAACCTTATGATACTTTGTTTCTCTAGTGTTTTCAAGTGACTTTGCAGATGTCAAGGATACTGTTATACTATTCAATAATTTTGGGAGTACATGTTGTATCTTATGTCGCACATAAATCTTCCCCTTTCTCTCTCCCCTAAATGCGATTGAAGGTTACTAAGTTGATTCATTTAGTTAAGTGAATCAACTAACTAGTTCTCTTATACAATTGATATTCATAATAATTTTATAATTCATTTATCTTCATTTGGATCTCCTCTTGAATGATTGTTTTTATTAATTTATGTGGAAGATGAAATAAATAAAAATATAATAATCTTAAAGGATATAATAATCTAAGAATATAATAATTATCATTTTTCTCTTTGAGCTCATCACTTAAAGGAGAAAGATGGGTTCAGCATCATGTTGATGTAGGAAATCCAATTT